GTTAACTTCAGAAAATCAATCCTTTCTTTGAAACGAAGCAGAATCCTTTCCCAACTGATCTCCTGCCTCGCTGGCCCTCAGGAAAAACGCTGGCACCACAAATTGCCCTGAACGTGGCTTTACGGACACCGGAAGGCACCGAGCATCCCACGTGTGCGCAGGACGCGGCAAGGCAGCATCCCGGCCCCTGACAAATGCTTGCTCTGATTGCTGCCACCACGGCAATAAATAAACACACAGTGATGGCAGCGTGGATAATAGTAACAACACTTTCAGGTATAGTATCAATGCTTGCCATGCCGCAGGAGTTAATTTATCTGTGGCTGGTCAGGCATCTTCCTGGCAACTACTGCACCCCGAGGTCAAGGTCGGGAGCCAGCCCTGTCCCAGGGACGGGGACAGCCGCCCGCCCTGCCACGGAGGGCTCAAACCGTGCCGGGCACCACGCCGCTCCGGGGCAAAGCCCACGCCGAGAAAGGGGCCTCCCACACAGCTGGAGCTTCGCTGCTGCTGTTGTGGGGTTTGGTTGTAATTAACAAATGTACCCTGTCCGCATGCTTTGCTTTCCCCGATAGAGACAAACAGGGTTTCTTACCTGCAGTGGTTGGTGACTCAGCTGGAGCTCGCTTTCTGGAGATTTAATTCTGAAAAAAAAATACACCTTTCCTTTAAGCCACAAAGCATGTGTGTGTGTATAAAATCTAGAGGCTGGGGATGCCTCTGCCGCCACGGCAGCTGGACTCCAGGTAGGGGCTGCTCAGCGCGGTGTCGGAGCAGCCAGAGCAAGGCTCCTGCCCGCGGCACCTAACCCCTCCCGGGGGTCAGTAAATGAAGGTCTCGGTGTGGCTTTCATGATCGGAGTCTCTAATGATCTGCTTAAAAGTGCTGCTCCACATGCATCGATCCCGGCAGTCCACCCATCAGAGCTTCCCCTCCGAGCATCCCTCCTTCCCCCTGCCTGGCTGGGAACCCTCAGTCCCCGGCCACGTTCCCTCCGCTCCCCT